CTTTTCATCTCCAGAATAACATATGATCATCCGACTCAAAATGCCCCATGCCAGTCCATCTCATCTTGCCAATGCCTAGTATGTCAATATTTATGCATTCCATTTCTTCTTTAACAATATATAATTTTCCTACATTCATGGTTCTCACATTCCATGTCCCAATTACTAGTGTCTTCTTACAACTGTTCCTCTTCCTTCTTATTTCCATACTTGAAAGCTCAACCTCATTTGCCCTTTCTTTTATTTACAGGTGTTCTACTGTCCCTATGTACAAGATATATATAAATGATTGAATTAAAAACCAATATCATTTATAAACTTGTACTAAAATTCTTTTTGAAGATACAGACTGTGGAATCACAAATTTAATTTTATATATCTTGAAAGAATCTGAGAGAAATGGATTCTAAAATTAAAATTTAAAAGCCTTAAATTGTCTGCAAATATAGTTAACAGTTTCTTCCATTCCTGTGCACGTCAGTGTGTCCATGCTCCATTTCTTCTTTCTTGATTCTTTTTTTTTTCTTTTGTGATTTTTAAGTTGGCTCCATTGCTTGTAATAAATGGAATGTAACGAAAATTATAAGGGGCCATACAGCTTCCAATTTCTCTTTCTAGGAAGCCACATGCCATGCAAAGGAGCCTAGGATAGACTTTGGAATAATGAGAACTCATGTAAGACTGGGATAATCGGGATGGGAGTGTCAGAGACAGTGCGATTGGCACAAGGCAGAGCAGAGTATAGGGCTGTTGTACATAGGGTCGCTATGAGTCCCAAGCGACTCGACGGCACATAACAACAACAACAACATGTAAGGCATAGGAGAACAAGGTGTTCCTGCCTGTGGCCAGTACCAAGACTTTAGATGTGTGATGAAACCATCATGGATACACTCCTTGTAGTTGAGCCCTCTAAAACCATCAGAGGATGAGCTCCCTACTAAGCACAGGTCACATTCCTGACTCAATAAGAATTAGGAGTAAAGAAAATGATTGCTAGCTTTTGTTAACTGTTTTTAAATAAACTTAATTTTTTTCAGAGAAATGCATGGTTTACAGAAAAATTGTGCACAAAATTAATAAGATTCCCATGTATCTTACCTTTTTTACCTGCATGGTTTCTTCTATTATCTTACATTTTATAGGATTATTTTGTTGAAATTGATGAAATAGTATTGTTTGGTCGGTGGGGGGAGCAGGTGAAGGAAATGATGAGGGTCCAGTGGGGACCAGATGCTACAGAGGAATGACAAGCATTTTCCAATAGTAATTAAACCAA